ATCGTATAACTGTCAAACGTGAGTGACTGTTCATCGGAACTGTTATAGTCTGAATACTCATAAGTCCGATACCATTGATGTCTAATAACTTTGATAGTCATGGCTGGATCTACTACTACCTCGTCCATTGAGTATAACAGAGCAAATGATGGTATACCAATGAACATCGGGATGATACTAGGAAATATGGTCCGAAGAATCTCGATAGTAGTTCCATGAACAATCCTTTGCGGGATTGTATTTTTTTGATAGTGGAAATGCCATAAAGCGCGAACCAAGATCCGTGATACGAAAACCAAAATAAGAATGAGGAAGAAAAAGATATCGTGATGTAAGTCTATTATTCCTTGCATCATAGGTGTTGTTGTGTCTTGAAATCCTAATTGCCAAGGTTCCACTGCATCACAAGGAGCAATCGTGAGGAATAGCCATTCTAATTTGATTTTCTTTGGTTCATTTTTTAACTGCTCCCCCAACAAGAGGAAAGACTTGTTTGTTGTAAATCGCTGGTTGGGTTTACCAATCAAGAAAGACATGGGACTCTTTTTTCTTTGTCGTTGCTTGGCTGTAAACCAAGTGCTTTTCGATCTTAGCCGATCTTAGGTTGACCGTGTCTCCGGCCCCCTTTCGGTGCACTTATTGGAGAGCTCTTTGGGCCTGCCGCTTTCTCAATCGAAAATGGAAACCTTTCAAGATTATCCTACTGAACGATTCTTTCTATCACTTACGTGATTTCTTCTCTTAGTAAATTTGTAGAATAAGGGATTCAGGATTCAATTGAAAATGGTACTTTTTTTGATTGAATTCAACCAAACCAAGAACTTCTTCTCTTACATCAACTATCAACTATTATAATATAATAAGTAACTTCCTCCGGAAAAGCTATTATTCCATTCGAGGGACCTTTTTTACTTACTCCTAAAAAGTCAAATCGACACTTTTCTTTAGGGAATTTTTTCATAGATCGGATTTCCTTTCCTACGAGACATCGAAATGTGCCATTTTTCCTTGGTTGGTAAACTTGTCCTAAATGCTGCTGATTTCCTTTCTAAAGGTGCAATCCATAGAAGTTTTAGCAAAGGGTTTGCCGAAGGACCATCTTTGGGCATTAAAACTTCGCGGATACGCCTATGCCTGGCTTCCTTCCTCCACTGAACACTATCTACCGTGGCGTGGGTTAAAATTTTCTTATCTTCTTTCCTCGGTATTTACCGTTGTGCCCCTGCACTATCAAGAAGAAGGAATACCAGGCAAAGTCCCTTCTAATCATAGCGGGTTATTTCACTCCTAAATTAAGGCAGTGAACTTGGTTTGCGCAAGAATAGGTTGAGAGATTTAAGCTAAGATCGAGATGGGAACAGAACTGAAAGCAAGTAGACAGATAAGTTGTTTTCGACGAATCCCTTGCTTGAGAATCAGCTGTTCGCGTTTCTCTCGCGCTATAGCCGGGAGAAAAGAAAGACGAATGAGGGATCCTGCATGTGCAAGCTGGAACCTACTACCGAACCTACGATAGAAACAAGAACGAGGGAAACAAGGAATTACAAGCAAATGCAAGAGGAAGAGGGGTTATACCGAGCTAAAAGCAAGGGATAACAAGGAAAGACAGGTTATAAGAGTTAAGGTTTTAATGCATGCAATCTACCAACCTGAAGCTCCGATATTGTTCCCATTACGTGCTTCTCCTCCTTGTAAGACTAATGGGAAGCACTAATGCTCTCTTGTGACTGGAAAACACCAGCTTTCAGCCTTTGTTTGTAAGTTAAATATAGGCTTTTCATTGCTACAACTTCACTTCCTAAGCTCAGCAAGACTGTAAGAAGGTGTTAGCAAGGTAGTTCCAGGGGAAGCAAACGAAGCAACAGGGTTAGAACAAGGAGATAACAAAGGAGTTATACCTAACTAAAAGCAAGGGATAACAAGCAACATGCAACAATGGATTCAGTTTCTAATGATAGGTAAAACCTCTTCGCTTTGCTCGAGCATCTTAAAACGTCATAGATTTATTGTTTATAGTCTTCTCTCTCCCTTAGGTGGACTTTCGATTTTGAGTCAGTTCCTATGTCAGAAAGAGCGGCCCCACATTTCCTGATACGATAACGGCAGATCAGCGACATCAATAAGTAAAGGAGTAAGGGGCGAAACCTTTCATCTGACACTCTATCTATATCTATAGCTAGATCAATTCCTATTATTTCTCACCCGAAGGAACTCAAATACCTTTCGAGAAGACTGAGACGAGAATCACGAGCTACCTTCCCTTCTGCCCTTTGTCCCGAGAAGCACTTCGCTTGAGAGAAAGAGCAGTCAGACTACTAGGGGAATCAGAATATCTTGAGCCAAGAAACCACGCGGAAGGCGGGAAAGATGACAATTCAGTTGGAATCCACAAAAGAAGACAGAAAAACATGAAGTCAGGGGGAAAGAGGGGAACCTAGGGAACGTAAACTTTGCCCCGGACTCGGGGGGTTGAGAGGTTTAGGCTTACTTTTCTTTGGCAGTGGGTTCACTGAACTTAATTCTATAGTATACCGGCTAGTCTGGTGGTAGCATCGGATTATCGGTCACTAGCTTTTTAGCAGCGGTTAGCAGACGCAAGGTGAAACTGCTCCTAGGCTCGCAGGCAAGGGAGGATGAGAACTAAATTGCCTTATCTTTTCTTTCCAGAGGTCTTTCTGCCCAAAGCAAGCTAGCTAGAAGCAGAAACTCCTATTTAAGTAAGGCCAGCTGTAAACAAAGCAAACAAAAGATTCGTGGTTGTACCAATCCCATCGGTCGTAGTTCATACTCTACCAGCTAACAGGAAGTAGAACGAGAACTCTTAAAGGCGCATCAGCAATATCAAGAAGGAAAGGAGCCCTTTAGCTTTTGGGGACATGTAAGACAACCTAGTGGATCCTTTTTAATATCCATCAAAGGGAAGACGATTTCCGACATTCACCCTCAAAAGGAGGCTGTCCATGCCTGTTGAAAGTTCCTTGCCTCTTGTGCTTCGCTTTGTTTTGGCTTCCATCCCTGAGCTTTAGCCCTTGCTTTCTTACGAAGAAGAGGATTTCTCAGATCATATGGGGGAATAAGACTCAACAACCGGTCGTTCAAGTTCAAGAAGCAAACCTAGGAAAAGGGAAAAGTAAAAGACTTGGAGAAAGAAATAAACTTGGAATTTTGGCATAGAAGAAGAATTCATCCATATAAGAAACAAAGAAAAAGATTTCGTGGGGTGGTGCTGGAGTCAGATCAATCCGATGCGAGATCTATAGGCTCCGAATATCCAGTTAGTTTAGGATCCCGGGGACTGGAACGGGCGAAGCCATTGGATTGATTAGCCCGGGCGAACAGGAATGTGGTCGTCTAGATTGTACCTGCGGAAAGATTAGGTGGACCCCTATACATTCATTGATTAGACCGAAACCAATCAAAGCGATCGAGCTACCCACATTTTAGTTTTTCTTTATCAAGCAGGGGCTTAGCCGCTTCTTTCTATTATTTCTTATATTTCTGGCAGCATTGGGAAAAAAAGAGACAAACCGTCGAATGGCTAAAAAGCCCTATTAATGTATGTGGAAAGTCTATACTTAACACACCGACTCAATTGGAAGATGACTCCTCACAGGGTTCGAAAGTGAAGGTTTCAATCATATTTCTAACACTGAAAAAGGCATAACATTGATTTACACTCGATAACTAAAATTGAAATTGGCAAATTCTTCATTTAATGATTCACCTACGCGTGATACTGATCTTTGCATACCATGGGGCTGACCTGAACTAATGTCCTATACAAGACGAAGCTCGGGTACACTTAACACTTAGAAAAAGAAGCTAAGTGTCTGACTGGTCATAGTTCCCTGCTGTTGCGGCCAGTGCTCGTTTGCGCGTAACCCAACAAACAAGGAAAGGATGCCTCTCGGGACATCTGAGAATGATTCGAGCCGTATGAAGGGAAACTCTCACGTACAATTTGTCTTTTTTTTGGGGGGGGGGGGCGAGGAGCCCGACAGGGTCCCCCCACTGACTTGGCCCAGGCCTAAGTGAAAGTGAAGTGGTGGGCCTACCCATCCCAACCAGGGGTATGCTGGGATTCGCGAAGAGCAGCACCTTACGATGTTCATGAACAATCGGATCCTGATGTACCAGTAAGTACCAGAGGAGATCGTTATGATCGTTACTGTATCCGTATTGAAGAGATGCGACAAAGTCTGCGGATAATTTTCCAATGTCCTAATAAAATGCCTAGTGGCATGATCAAAGCCGATGATCGTAAGTTATGTCCTCCATCACAATGTCGAATGAAACTATCCATGGAATCGTGCACCGTGTGAAACGTAGATCATCGCCGTTTTTAACCGAGACTCAGGTTAAGCTCCGTCTCAGAACCTAGTGGGGTTAGGAGTAAAGCATCCCGAGGTTGGCGCATCTCATTGGGCGTGGGGAAGCATTGGGAATCTCCATTTCTTTCTTCGGAGCCGTTTCTTTTCCCATCCCCCCGCCCCGGCATAGCGCTTCGCTTCCAGTTCTTCGGAAGAATCAACTGACTTCTCCCTTCTTCATTGATCTGGGGGAAAAGGAACCGTCTACCAGTTGGCAAGCTAGACATCAAGTAAGTGGCTTGATGAGGATAACTAAGCTGACACGCCGGAGTTGGTTGCTGGCACAATAGGGCGGTGCCTTACCGCACCGCAGGCGAACGCGCGGTAGCATTTGTAGTGGTGCTTCAGGATTGCAATGTACTGCATCCAAGATCAGAACGAGCTTGTCGGCGGACCACTGCCGTCCCATTCTTGAGTGAGCTGGAGCGCAGCCATATTATCCACTGAACTAGCTAGAAGCTATTGCTTCGGGTCAAAGCACTAAAAGAAAAGGACCGGGAAACGCGACGGCATAGGAACCACGGGACCCCCTACTAGTAAAGGGAAAACGGAAGTGCGTGTTAGCGCACCAGCTGAAAAAGCCCATTCCCCTGACTCTAACTTCACCCTTCTCCAACCAGTCGAGTGGCATTAGCCCCTCTCCCAGCAAGAGGATGCGTGAACCTCCAAGTCAAGCGCGCTAGCGCGCTTTACCAAGGCTTTCTCTGATAGGGGCTCGAACGCCGTTGCTTGTTTGGGTCGAGCGTCAACCTTAGCGCATCCATTTTCTTGCTCCTTAGCACAAGCACTAAGTAAGCTCGTGAAGGAAAGGCCTTTTCATACATCATAATAAGGTAAGCTTCATAGCTTCAACCTAGACAAGGCCTTTTTTTTTTTTACCTTTTTTTAGATTGGGTTGCTGGATACAGGATCCTCGTAGTAGGCTGGACCAACATCCAGCCGAGAGAGGGCAGCCTTTAAAAGCAACAAGTTGGGAAACCAATAGAACGCTTCGCGTTTTCTTATCTTCTTCCTGCCCTAGGAGTAGCACAAAAAGAGGGATTAGCATTATTGACCCAATGATAAACCACTAACACCCTCCTCGTTAGGTCTCCGCGCACTGGGAAAAGGCTCTAGCGATGGCAAAACGGCCACTACTAACAAAGCTCCAATAAGGTATCGATATAGAGGGCTATCACAGTCAGGTGCAAAGCAATTACCCCTTTTTGTAAAGTACCCCTCTTCCTATTTAGTTTAGGGGGTTGAGGCAAGAAATGGCTTGATGAACCGTTCTGTTCGCCATGCACCGGCCCCATTCACTTGCTTATCGTAGAGGCTGTAAGTACACAGTGCCCCACAACAATTAAAAGTATAGTGATAGTGGGGTTGAAACACAAGAGTGCTCGCCCTTTCTTTCATTTCAAGTAGGCCACTTTTTCCGAAACGCAATTCAGGATAACTGTGATCGTATAATAATATATAAATCTTCAATGCTGTCATTTCGAAATGTCCGCTTCAACCGCAGCGCAGTTTAACCCAAAAAGCAAAGTTGGCTTGACGAGCGCAGATGCGAGGAAGCGGGAGAAATTAAACAAAAAATATCTTTCTTGTCCTTCTACTTAAGGGGCAAAGAGAAGCGCTTATGCTACTGAGGAAGCGAATGCGCGAAGGTTCAAGACTTAGCCGAGCGTTAGCAAAGCTAGATTCTCATAGTGAGGCGCTACTACAGCGCTTCGCTAACTCGAAGCGCCGTAGTAGCGCCGAAGCCCTATGTGCTATAATGCTGAGTCAAGGACGCTCCGCCTTATCTATATAAGCAGTCAACTGAGTTCTGAATGAATTAGCTCCTTGGTAATGGCTCAATCTATAGATAGAAAGCCCTATGATGGGAAACTATCACGTTAGGTTTGGAGAGAGATCGAACCTATTAGCTTAACGAATAGGGAGAGCAGATGCAAGCTTTTTCTTTCAATAGCCGGCTAAATGACTACAGGATCATTGGTCTACTCTACCTCAATTCACCATTTCGAACTTTATACAGAAGGTTTTTCCGTACCAGCTCCTTCTACCTATACCTCAGTTGAAGCACCTAAAGGAGAATTTGGTGTCTTTCTGGTCAGTAATGGAAGCAATCGTCCCTACCATCATAAAATAAGAGCACCTGGCTCTGCCCATTCACAAGGACTCGATTCTATGTCCAAACATCACATACCAGCAGATGTGGTCACCATCATAGGTACTCAAGATATTGTGTCTGGAGAGGTGGATAGATAGGACTACTAGTTGCTCGATCAGGACCCTAGCTTTATTGCGAGCCAAAAACCTTGATGGATTCCCCTTCCTTTTCTATCCTTTGTACTAGAGAGAAACAAATTTTAAGAGGAAGGAGGAGTAGGCATCGACCTAGTTAGTCGTTCTGAGTGAAGCTGAGGAGGTTCTTGGACTAGTTTCTCATGTATATAAATAATAAGGCTCCTTCTTTCTAGAAAGGGTAGTTTTTCCTGCCTATCTGTTCCTATTTGTGAAAACGAGTACGTGAGCAGAACATCTTTCAAACATCGAGATTGGGTTGGCGGTCAGTAAGGAAAGTCGGGTGTGGCGATCCGATCAACGAAAATAAATCCTGAAATTACATATATAATGATAGAAAGAATCGTTTAGTAGGCTAATCTTGACAGTTTCCATTTTCGATTGAGAAAGCGGCAGGCCCAAAGAGCTCTACAGTAGTGCCTCCTTGCTTGGTCTCAACAATTTTGCTTTTACACGGTAACGAATACTTTCTAGAACAAATATGAAACCTTCACTCTTTGCCAAGATAGTACGAATGAAGTTCTTAGTGCTACCTAGCCCTTTCTAGATGGAGAATCTATTATATGATATAAGTTGTCGCTTCGCTCGAGTGACTACGTACCTACCCCTTCGACATAGATGATTGGACTGTCTTTCTTTGGCCTAGAAGAATGGCACTTGCCTTTTCTTGGTCGGTTCGAATCCGGCCCAGTCCTAGGTAAGCACGTAACAGACGTTCGTATGAACTAGAACCTTTCTTTTGATCAATAGAATAGGAAGAGGAGTCAGCCAAAAAGAAAACAAAAAGTAATGACCACCAAGATAATGCATATATTATTTTATTTAATATATGGCCCATTTTTTCATATAATTGTTTTTTTTCTCTTTCATATCCTTTTATCTGCAAGTCTGGCTCTTGGTAATATTTTTATCTTAAAAGCAGTATTCGCGTACAATTCCGCTTTAGGGCTGCCAGTTTCATTTCGGGCTTCCTGGAATAAAATTTTTGTGAAGGGACTATATCCCAGTAACTAGGCCCCCCCACAAACGGTTCCCGACATATCTGAAACTCTATTATTAAAACAAATCGCGGAGAACTCTTATATTGTTTTATTTATTACTTTTTTTATAATATTCCTTCTGAGTTGTTCCGTTGTTTTTTTTAGTTAGACTTCTAGAACTAGAATAAATCTGACTAAGGAAGAAGAAGCAAAAATAGGTTTCTTTTTGGGGCTAATTTCTTTTCCCGTGGCCTGCTTCATTTCTCTATTTTTCCTATCTTATAGCGGGTTGGCTCTAAATAATGAGCTGACCATTATTTATTGTTTTTGCCAGAATATTAGCTCCGGGCTTGCTATGTCGTTTGAAAGTGGTCATGAGGGGATACACTTAATAGTCTACCCCCCCCCCCCCCTCTGACCTAAGAAGGTAGCTTGTCTCGCCCAGGAGGTGGGAACAGTTGAAAACAAAGTGGCGAACGGGTGAGAGGGCCTTCGATTTTGATTCTTTTTCTTGAGGGGGATTTTTTATGTCAGAAATCACTGTCTGTCTGGTCTGCATTTAAAAAGTGTTCAGTGGACAATTCCTTCTCTTGATATGGAGGTTTTAGGTCTCTGGAAGGGCCTTCGTTCTTTCTGTTAGTTTTCGTTTGTGAATATTTCTCCCATGCATAATTTGTTGGTCAACAACCACAACTCAATAGAATGAATTCTTTAAGACTCCGGACTCTCTTTCTTTCTGTCCGGAGGGAATCATTGTTTCTCAATCAATCATGCCTTAACTAGATAAATTCACTTATTTCACACAATTCTTCTGGTCATGCCTTTTCCTCTTTACTTTCTATATTCCCATATGCAATGATGGAGATGGAGTACTTGGGATCAGCAGAATTCTAAAACTACGGAACCAACTGGTTTCAAACCGGGGGAACAAAATCCGGAGCAACGACCCCAACAGTTTGGAAGATATCTTAAGAAAAGGTTTTAGCACTGGTGTATCCTATATGTACTCTAGTTTATTCGAAGTATCCCAATGGTGTAACGCCGTCGAATTATTGGGAAATAGGAGGAAAATAACTTTTATCTCTTGTTTTGGAGAAATAAGTGGCTCCCGAGGAATGAAAAGAAACATCTTATATTTGATCTCGAAGTCCTCATATGGCGCTTCTTCTTCAAATCCTGGATGGGTGATCACTTGTAGGAATGACATAATGCTAATTCATGTTCCACACGGCCAAGGAAGAATCAAAAAATAAGAAAGGTATTGCTTTTTTTATAATAGTTGCTCGTTCGTTCATAAATTCACTAGACCACTTGTTAGTCTTGCTACACGACACGAGTCTAGGGTGAAGTTGAAGCAGACACGGTCAAGTAAAGTCGACTTCACAAGTGATTAAACATACCATATATATGGATGGAAATCAAAAAAAAAGAGAAGGGTCTCGCCCAGGTGGCTCCCGCAAGGTAACGACTTCAAACTCAAACAAAGAACGTTTTCCAGGGAAAGAGAGGGAGACAGAGAAGGGATCCTAACACATTCCCATAGTGATATTCACCTAGAGACAAGACTATGTCACAAGATAAGACAATAAAATAATACAAAAAATAAGATAGTCTGATAGATAGGAGAAAGAGAGGAGTCTAGAGCAACTACAGGAAAATATTAGACGTTACGCTCCTACCTATAGATATGAGGAACTTCCCTGACTCTCTGTCTCTGCATCCTGACCGCTTCTTGCTATGGGACTAACGGGAGTGCCCACATCTTGCTGTGAACTAGAATCTCCTACTCACATTTTTAGATTCCTCGTGCTTATCCCCTAATGTGTCTTCCTCCATGAATGTGGCACCTGTCGTGAAGAGGGTGATGAAAAACCATTAAATTAAGTCTCTCACCGGAGCCCAGGGGAAACACTTACATAAGCCACTGTCAACCACTGTAATAAAAGCAATGGGATACACGACAACGAGCGAATCTCTTTCCCACCCGAAGCTTTAACTGAACCTCTATATCCGACAGAGGAATGACAGCGGGAATGGACCTTAGCAACCCCTTTCTCCTTCCATTGTAAATACTTAGATAGATGGAAATGGTTCGCTTCCTTGAGCAGGAATGCATGAGTTGTTAATCCGTATATGAGTCCCCTCACTTCCTCATGTAAGTCAATGTTTCCCCCTCTAGGAGGAGAAATATCTTTATCATAACTTCACAAGCCTACCTGACATTCCCTTCTATCATTCGTTCCTGGATAGCTGTGGTGTTCCAAGAGACATATGGAAGATTTCGAAGCCTGCTCTGTGATGGGAGGTGACGCTGTTCAAGGAAGTATCCTTGGGGAAGGTCAGACAGTCAAGCGGGCTTAGGAGAGATTGAGATTCTATTCTTCGGGAAGGGAAGGGAAGTTGTTACGAAAGGTTCTCAGTCTTCCGACTTCCTCATCCATATGAGGACCGATTTTTTTTGTTCTGGCTTGTAGCTTGATAAAGGGCGGATGGAAGGATAGCTGGAAATTTAATTCCACTTAGAATTATAAGGAAAAAAGTCTCAGTATCTAATGAACCGAACGCTTCAGCCGTGGAACAAAATAACTGCTGGACCAATGTGTTTGTGCCAAATCAGAAGGCAATGACAATTGTCTCAGGAGCAATCCCTTTCAGTTCCAATTCCGAGCTTGCACAGGGTATATCCCACTTAAGGGAATGAGGGGCAAGAAAGAATAGATTAGAAGCCCCTTACTCTTCTGAGTAAATAATTTGAACTAATTTTAGTCGGAACACCCTGTCGCTACCGCGAAAAATAAGGTGCCGGCAAAACAGAAGAGTCGCCACCTTTCGTTATTTATCCCTCGGAACGGGAAAGGAAACGATCGGAAAAACCTGACGAAGAGGTATAAGACAAGGTCATCGCAACCATTGTCTGGGTTCGGGAGTCGGTTACACAAGGGGAAGGTATTAGCACCCCTCACGTCCATCGTACTCGATGGGATCCACGCTTGTTGTGTTTATCTGACGGGTTGGTTTTATCTATC